AAAAGACAACAGCCTCTTACTGGCAGTATTTGTTCTTTAGACCCGTTTTGTTACTCAGGGTTTGCTTGCCACAGCAAAGAACCTGTGTTCTGTCATGTAACAAATGTGAATGCAAATAGATTCAGTCCAAGCCACGAATCTTGTTATATGCCTGTTAGGAGTGATTTACAGGAGCTTACTTTGGGAGATGGGGCAGAACGGGTGTTCTTGTGTGCAGTAGAATCCTGGCAAGGAAATATTTGCCGGATTCCTCCAAAGTAAATGTGATAGACACACAAAAAAGAGGAGCTACTTATTTCTTTCACTTGTTCAAGTTTCACTTTACCTGCAGTATAAAGAATCAATTGAATTGGACTTTGCCCACACCGCTGCAGAGTAGTGGTTTGCTTTCCATAGTGGTGCTACTAGAGATTTAAAAAAATGCCAGGTAGTGGGTGGGTGTATAAACAGGGAACAGGCTTTTTCTTTTCTACCAATGGCTGAATTCTCAATTCTCCTCTCAAATTGTAGTTAGAAGGGAGTGTGGAGATAAGCCAAAGCTTGGCCAGAGCATTTTGGTTAGTGCTCTCCTTTTTCTTTAGCTGGAATATTTCTAGAGGTCTACACTAGTGCTTAGTGTTCCTGTATTAAAAATCCTATGTATGTGGTATTTAAAAGGGTGGCCTATATGAAACCTGTTTTCTTCAGAACCTGGTTACTCAATAGCTACTGGCCATCCATCTCTTTTTACAGACGAGCGATCCGTGTTTTGCTTTTGACTCCTTCTGAAGCATGTGACTTCTCCTACAGTCCCTGGCTCTCCACATCGTGTATTTCTGTTGTGTTGGGTTCTGAGTATCTTGTCTCCCATTTCCTGTGTGTCAGCTGCTTGTCTGGTAACAAGAGAATGGTACACTATTTCATCATACAGCAGTTGAGAAGTTGACTTTCTGGGCTTTCTCAAAGATTGTGCAATGTCCAGTGTTACGTTGAGTCATTATCAGGGTATTTGTGGAGAAGGGTGAAAAGTGATGAAGAAGTGATGAAAAGTATGCCAAAGATGATACTTTCTCTAAAGTAAGTGGAAATAGTGTAATGTTTACAGCAAATAATAGGACTTTCTCCTGTATCTTGCTTTCTGTTGCTCCATATGCGGGTTCCTTCTGTAACTGGAATCACACTCAGGTGAGGTTTTCAGCAGCTGGTTTTACTGGTAACTCAGTCCTAGAGTAAGTCTTCCTAGGCGGATGATTAGTGTACAGGGAAATGCCTGTTCTGTTCCAATGGGTGAGTATGGATCCTGGTCATCCTTCCAAGTGTGCTTGCAGGGAGACTGTCTTTTAGGTTTTTTGACGGTTTTTGTTTTCACTTCCCTTGTATTACTCAAAGAGTTGGAGTGAGTGTGATAGCTGATGTGTGCTGGCCTTAGAGGCATTTAAGGCAATTTGGCTAGAGCTGGAGAGGCAGGAGGTGAGTACACAGCTTCCTGACCTGGCTTTGGGCATTCTTGGCAGAGATTGACTTGTAAGCACCCAGAACAAGGGTCTTTGGTTATACAGTGGTATCATCTTCAGGTAATTATCATTTAAAAAATAAAAGAAGGTGTTTCAGAACAGAATAAAATAATCTGATTAAACTTTAGCAACCTTTTCTAATGCAGTTTGAGCCTAGCTTGTGTAGAAAGGAGTAAAAGGAGATTGCCGTGTATCGCTAAACTATGTAATGTTTGCCTGTTGCATGTAGCTAGCAGGAGGTTGCACAAAATATTTTATTGTAAGGCATTCAGAAAATTCTTTGTTTGTGGGTGTGTGTTCTCATAGCGTCAGAATTCTGTTATTGCCATGCTCTTACTCCACCAGAGGCAAGGGTCAGCCTGAAATTTGACATTGTTGTGGCTTCCTTCAGGAAACTGTGAAAATACTACTTGCTTTTTGACAGCAGCCATGGAGAGAGTGGACAGTGTAGCTGTTGATCGGCTTGAAGCTTTGTCAGGAGGATCTGCAACTTCTGTTCTCCTCTCAGGCTTTTGTCTGTGCCTTCACCTGTTCTGGGCCTAGACACTGTAGCAACTTAAAATTTTAGTTGTTTCTGGACAACACTGGTCTTGGTGTTAACCTGTCTTGCATTATCTACATGCTCTTTTGCTAGTGACCAAATATGATTTAAGGGGATTTATTTTGCTACCTGGTTTTCTGAAGATCCTCCTCCTTTCTGCCTGTTACCAAAGTTGAGGCCAGGGGGTACTTGTTCTTAGTTACAGGAAAAGCTATAAGCAGAGGCAGAGACTGCTCAACTGACAGTGTCTGTTAACAGACTCGTATCTGGCAACCCTCAAGACACTGCAGTTTGCACTTTTGAAGCTGTGGATGAAAATATGTCTCCACTGTTTGCTATTACTTCATGCAGTTACCACAGCATTGATGATTTTACTTGCTACTAAAACTACAACTGTATTCCTAAACGACAGCATAGCAAAGATTAAGGCCCTGTTTCTACAGTCAGACCTACAGTTCAGATAAAAGAAGCTTTCAAGAGCTGATATGCTCGTGGCAAATTGAAATTGAAAGAAAGCTCTGATCCGCTGGAGCTTAGTGGCAAACTGAAAATGCATTGCTTCCAAGTTTGTCAGTTCAGCTTAGTGTTGGTGACCCAGGCACAACTCAGAGATGCCTCAGGGAAAGAAAATAATCATAGCCAGTGATCTCTCAGGCAGTTTAAGGAAAGAAATATGAATGCTGCAGTTTCAGTTTCTCAGATGATTTATTCTTCTTCTCCCTGGTAAGATGAATAAAGTCTTCCTGAATTAATCTGGGTGACGCTTCGTCCTGTTTTCCATAGATCTTTCAACTTCAGATCTGGAATAAAGCTGTCTTCCAAGTGATATTCTTTGGATTACAGCTTTTAATCCATATGCTCCTGGTATTTAAAATTATGACGCTAAGAATGAAAAACAAAAGAGAGGAGAGAAGTACAGCCTGTATTGTGAGAGTAGGTGCAGGCATGTTAGGAACCTTGGTAATGAATGTCAGTTTACAAGAGGGAGAAAGACAGTGAGTGATATTAGTCAGGGAACACCTAATCTCTTCTAAAGATTTGCTTGTTTTTCTGTGATGATCAGGAAGACAGATAAAACACAGGTACTTGTGCTCAGTTTCTGGTGCTGGACGTGAAGTGGCTAAAGATTGACATAAGTGCTTAGTAAAGTCTGAGCTTAGTGAAACACTTACTGAAAGTGGTGCCTATTGACTATTTTAGCGGACCTCTTATGATGGAGAAGAGCACAGTTAACCTTTAGATCTTAATTGTAGTGTGTGGCAATGGGTGAAAAACAGTCTTAATCCCATGCCAGTATGAAATTGTGGAAAATGGGAACTGTGCCTTGTTGTAATAAAGCTTTTGACAGTGGCTTGCCAAAGGAAAGAGAAACCAATTTGAAACTTGAGGTCTGTGTAACAGGCTTGGATGAGCTGTGTTATAGTCAAATAAAGGTGGGGGGAAGCTTAACCCTCCTCAGCCCTGTGATTATCTAATCAGTGAAGTAGGGAACAATCAAATTAAGGTAAATGTAGATGTAACTGAAAATAATTCTCTGAATAAGTTGCAGTATGGATGATCTATAACTTAGCTGTGATTACAGTGGTTTCAAACACTCCTTTTTGTTTAAAGTCTCCAGATCTTTGAACATTACTTAGTTTTAAATGACTACGGGAGGAATAATAACATGAAGTTTGAACCAGAGAGATGATCTGGCTTTTGAGAACAAGAAAAATAGTCAATTGACTGACTGAAACTAGTTGGGTATCAAGAACAAATCTTTTCACTGGATTCCAGGGGCTTTGGCATTTGTGCCAACATAAATATGGGTGTCTCTCTAATAGCAGAATTGCACTGGATTTGTTTGTGCTTTTTGGAAATCTATGATATGTAATACACAGTTCACTTTTATACTTCCGTGTTTTAAGAAAACAGAGAGTTTAAATGTTGAACTGGGCGCTCCTTTTTCCTCTGGGTGTTTTGAAGAGAACTGAGGCCTCCTCTTTCTAAAAAATGTTTTGCACGTTTGTAAGTTGGTCAGACACATTGTATTCTGAAAGCTGAGCTGCATTCACTAAAGCACTTCAGATGGCTGTGTAGGCCTGAACAGGGAGTTGTAGCTATGTAGCATTAATTTCGGCTGCTCTTAGGCAGTGCTGAAGTTCCTCTTGTTTGCAGTGGGGTTTACTGGGGTCCAGTAAACAATTTGGTTTTGCTCAAGGCAGGTGTGGAGAATACTGTTCCTCAGTGAGTGAAGAGGCATCTAGCTAATACTAAGCTCTCTGCCTTTTTTGATGGCTTTATCCTCTCTCTCGTCTTGTGCCGTTCTCAAGTTCTGCAAGGAAGCTAACTGTTCTACTGAAAGGAAGGGATGACCTTAACTGTTCTGCTAAACACAAAGTATGTCAAGTATGGGGGAAGAGGGGATAGAGAAGGTAAATATTCAGACAGACACATGATGCTACCTGTGTCCCTGTAAAATTCACGCAGAATTTTTTTCTCTCATGTCAGTCTTTCATTTCTGATGTGATAATTAAATGTAATCAGCATGTTCTGACAAATCTGAAATGCCTTCTGGTACAGACTCACGCAGTTGAAAACCTTTGTTTTTGAAATAAACTGTTCTGAATGTACATGCTAGTGGCTTTTCTCAGGTGTCTGATACCAGGTTGTCATCTTTAGTTATTTCTCAGTGCTCTGTCTTTGTTCCTTCGAAGTATCGTCTGTAGTGGGCCCAAATCTGCTTCCAGTATGCCTGTACAACTCAGTGATTTTTCAGGTGTGCTTATGTCCTTAGAGAAAGTGAGTGACTTCGGTGAAGCAACAAAAGGGCCACAAGCATGAAACAGTTTGCAAAATTGTAATGATTATGACTGTATATATGCATATTAAAGTGCATTTCCTGTCAGGAAAAGTTCTTGTCACACAGGTTTTAGCCTTGTGAGTTAAGTATTCCCATACTTAATTTTCCTTTTATGTTCACTTTAAGATTACATGATGGGATTCACGTTTTCTCCAGAAAAGCTGTGTATCTTGGATCAATACCGTTGAAGATATCTTCTGATTGCAACACCCGAAGCAGGGTCCTGTAACAAATTTGTCAAAAGAACACGTACAATGGATCTCAAAGAAAGCTGCCCAAGTGTTAGCATTCCCAGCTCTGATGAACACAGAGAGAAGAAAAAAAGATTTACAGTAAGTATGTAAGAGTGTAAGCACCGTTGACAAATGCATAGGCTATTAGTGCCTAGAAGTGCTACTTTCTTTTGTTTTACTAGTAAGCTTGGTATTACTTTCAGCAGGTTTATGGAAGTCTGTTCACTTGCTCTTGTGAGTACTGGCCATAGTCCAGTGTGAGAAGTTGTGATTGTTTTACAGTGATTGACTGTGTTGCTTTCTGCAAAAAGAATTTGGCTTTTAAAATAGCTGGTATTTTCACCCCCAAATAGCAGCATTTTCTCATACAAAATACGTAAGTGTACAAATGCAGGGATAACATTTTGGTACCAAATCAGAGTAAGATTTGGCATCCTTACATGATTTTTCATGAAACATTTATTTTGTAAAGGTGTAAAGTGTGGTTTTGATTGGGTTTTTTGTTTGCTTGTTTTTAAAAATGGGCATTTTTTTCATAGATTATTATTATAATTTTCATAGATTATTATTATACTTTTATAATTTTTTATGTAAAAGAAAAAAATACAAAACATCAAATTTTTGAAAGACCTTTTTTCTGTCTTCCTTCCTGTTTTCTGGTTCTAATACCTATGAGGTTTTCCCTATCCTGTTCCTATTTCCACTCCTTGTCATTCCCCCTCTCTTTTTTGGCCTCCCAATTTGAGTGGCTTTCTGGAGGTAAAGTATTCCCATTCAGTGGGGAAACTCTTTGCATTGCATACTGAAAAATAAAGTAGTGTGGCATGGATTTTTGTTTTGCTTATATATATGCTAGGGTATAAAGATAGCATCATAATACTTCCTTTAAAAAGCTCAAACTATTTCATTGCTCTTGTGCAACTTCCTCTAAGCTTTTTTTTTTTTGACTTAGTCATTCTTCACATGTGGCGTGCAAACACCCTTAGACTGAGTTGCTGTCTGAAGAATACCATGAAACAAAGATTTACTTTGAGTTATGTATCTGCCTTTCCTGTTCACCTCCCTTCCTCGGAGAAGAATAATGCTGTTTGATTCTACAAGTGTATCAAGATGTAACTTAGGGAAGGAGCGTGCTGGTAAATGGAACAAGCAAAAGAGAACTTTATCAATACTTTAAACTGCTGCATGCATGCGAAACTCAAATGAGCAGCAAAAACTTCATGAAAGTCTAAGCTTTAGCAGAACAGGTTTGTTTTATTGGCTGAGTGCTGGCAATTCTGCTGTTAAAATGTGCCGTTATGATATGTTTGTGGTCCATATTGGTGGTGTGATTTCCAGGTCATTTTACCTAAAAATCTGTGTGACAGTCTTAGCAACTTAAAGGCACTTTCTTTGGGCACCCTTTAGAAAGCTGTGCAAGCAAGAGCCAGAAAATGCAGAAATTGGGGGGGTTGAGGGGGGAAAAAAGAAATCCAGCCCAGCTTCCACTGTGTGGAGGTACACTTTGTCTTGGTGGCTTCTGCTTTCTACATCAGGAACAGTTTGACAAGAACTGTTTTTCACAACCCAGCTTTTGAGTATTATTGCATATATTTTAGGATTTGATAACAGAAGTGAGGGTCGTATTAAACTTCGTGATAGGAACTGTGAGTTCCAGCATGTGTGAGTCAGTGCTTTTACTGCATCTCCTCTTTTGTAGCTGTGTTGTAATGACTGGAGCCAGTCAGTACCATTTTTGGTGGGGGGTGAGAGACAGGGGTGGGGGGAAACAGTTCTTAACAAATTTGTGGTAGGTATAGCTGCCATTTCTGTAAAGAGCAGTAAGAACCCTAGGGTGAAAGGAAAGGTTAAAGTGATAAAGGCTAGGAAAGACTTCAGGTGGCTATTTTGTATTATCTTCACCTTACTGTCACTTGCAGTATACATCACTACTGGTTCTCAGGCTATTCTGGAATCTTACTGGTCTCGATGAGTTGGAATTCAGTTTCTAAACCTTACAGTGGCTCACGTAATGCTGGCATGGAAACAAGACAATTATGTGCAACTTTGCTTTTACTAGCTCTCCTTTTTCCCCCCTCTCACTTGCCCTGATGAAACATTTTTAAAAACAATTATGTCTCTGTACAATCCTCATTCTGATAAAGAAATCAAGCTTTTCAGTTTTGTCTTTGGAAATGAATTCTTCATTCCTCTTGAGCATTTTCATAACCCTTTATTGAATATTTGATTAGTTTTTGTTAAATGCTGCATACATTCGATATATTTACTACCAATATTTCTTTTTTCTTCACAAATAATTACATGTTTGAAGTTTTAGGGTGTTTGACACGGAAGCTTTTTTGCTTTCACTTAATTTGTGGTAACCAGCCTCTCTGTATCTCCACTCTAGTTCACTGTCATGCCTTTTTCTGAAGATTCAGCATTCACTTTCTTCATAAAATGAGCAAAATACAGTCCAAAACAAGCAAGCATCTAGGCTATATTAGTTGCTGTTCTGTCCTTGCTGCATAGTGGGCCATTCTTTTGCCTGCATTGCCAGATAGCTTTGTTTTGGATTTCTGGCTTTTATCCCTATGCTGTTGGATATCTGAGGCTCCATTTTTCTCTCCTGACCTGTTCTTGTCTTGGCTTATTAAGAAATCTCTTTCAAGGGTGCTGTTTGTCTGGAAACTTTATCTCAGACCAGTGATGTATACTACTAATCCCCAGCCCTGTGGAAATTGTGGATTTGTGGTTTTTTTTTTTATTTTGTTGACACTTAATAAATAGTTTCCTTACTTTCTCAACAGTTGCTGTCTTGAAATTGGAAGGCAGCTTATGTTTTTACTTCTCTTTGTGTAATACAAATTGAATGTTTAATCCAGGAGCATGAGCTACCAAAACAGAGCTGAAAAAAGCTATGACTTCCAGAAATAGCTGGACCTTATCCTGTCTGTATCTGGGAAGATAGTTCATGGTGATGATTGTGGTGGTGATGTTTTCAGGTATTCTGTTTCTTTTTCTTCCTTTTTCCTTTCTCAGAGCTTTGCATTATTTATACACATATTACAAGGTGCGAATGCATCTTATCTATGTTTTAGGAGTTTTCTAAGACTGTTTTTGGTTTAGGAGTAATTAGATTTGAAAAGGTTATTATCTAAGTAAGGCGAGATTCCTCCCCCCACCTTTCTAGAGACAAACATTGCACATCTCTCTAAATCATTACGTAGGTGTAGCTGAGAGTAGTAATACAGCGCAAAGACATGTTATGTTTTTGAGTTTTACCAAATTTCTTGTAGATACCATATGTGTTCTTACCATTCAGTGCTTCCGTAACTGTTGAACTTGTAATTTCTCCTTTGTTGGGTGTGCAAGAGCTTTGATGATGGCGTGAACTGGATGACCTCATATGATTTTTTTTTTTTAAATGCTCTCTCATATAAAAAACATTGACTGTGTCATTGTTCTACAGCTAGCTACTCTGAGAACAAAACTGTTTTAATTTTGAGATTGCCAAGGAGGTGAATATCATCTTGTATCCTAAGTTATGCTTGCCTGTGCACTTTGCAGTCTATGCATTTTGCCCTGTTAATTTAAGAAGTTGTCCATGGCCTGCTTCTTAGGCTTGTTGGCATTGATCTGCCATGCAGTCATGGGGAGTGAAGATGATGTCTGTTTGAACATTATTTGCAGGACTTGATTGCTGTATAAGATACCTAGCTCAGGCTCAGGGGGGGCAATACTTAAGTCTTCGCAGCTGAAGCTTTTGCTGTTTACAGTCTAGGGAGGCTCTGGAAGATCTGGAGCTAGGTTTTATGCTAACGCTTGTTTACCAGTACAAGGGAAAGCTCGTTTTCTAAGAAGACTCTCATCAGCATCCTACTGAATGCTTCTATCCAGCCCCCCATGTTCCCCAGGGAAGACTGAGAACAGCTTATCTGAGTAGTTAACGTAGCATGATTGCAGATCTCAGGCTAAGGAACTGATGGTGGTGGCTGCCACTTCCACCGAGGGAGTTAAAAAGAGAGAGGTAAGCTGCTGTTGCAGGACAGAAAGGAGACTGGGGCATTGCTCCAGTTTTCTGCATCAGAAATGAGCAACCTTCTGCACTCATTTCCTTGCTGTGCCCATCCTCTGCCCTGAAGGAATAGCCAGGCTCTTCCTAGAAGCACAAGAAGGTGAAGAAGGGAGGTCAACTAGTTGCATAAGAGACAGGCGAAGCCTGCTGGACACTCAGATGTCAACCAGATTTATGAAGCTAGGGATTGACAATCTGTCTAGTTACCGGAGTCCTCTGCTGCCATGGGATTTGAAAGCCTAGAACTGTGCAGTAGGTTCCAGCTATGCCTCCCTTGATCCCAATGCTATGTATTCAGTACCCTGTGCTCGATTTCAGCCACAGCAGCATTTTTCCCCCCTTCACAATTGCATCATCTGCCAGGATCCTGACTGTAATATGTATTCAAGATGTTGCAAGGAACAGTTATCTTTATAACCACCTTCCGTATGTGCTTTCTCTTTAGGTTCTGGTGAAGGCAATCTCCAGTGTTTAAATGCTTTACTTCCTTAATATTAGTCTTTGTTATGGATTATCAAGTTGTTAACAAATTTCATAGCAAATTTTTACAGACTACTATCTGATGCCCAGGTGTTCTTGTTGGGTATGAACTAATTTATGAAACTCCATTAAATCAGCTTTGGTGTTAGTTTTTGCTTACCTGATGTTTAAAAAAATTTCTGTAAAATACCAGACTCTTCTAATTGTTCTTTTAATCATTTGTGTTGATGCCTATGTGACTTAGCTGTAAGAAGTATATAGCTCAACAAGTACGTTTACACAATACATTTAACAACCTGCCCTTAATTCCACCACAGAACTAAACCTGGGAGGTTTTATTAAACTTTGCTGTTGACAATAACTTTATCTTTGTTACTACAGGTTTACAAAGTGTTGGTCTCAGTTGGCAGAAATGAATGGTTTGTCTTCAGACGGTATGCAGAGTTTGATAAACTCTACAATACGGTAAGCAAAAGGCAAGCTATGAAGCCATGCCAGAATAGCACAGAGTAACACTTGTTTGCAGTGTTATGGTTTGTGTTAATTCCCTCTTGAGGAGTTTGAGTCAACATTCAATAACCATAGGAGCCTGTTTAAAGAAAATGACAGGGTGGGTTTTTTAAACTTTGATTTGTTTGAATTTCAAACTCAAAATCCACTTATTTGCGGCTTCTTTATTTTTGCTTGGGATCATAGTGCAATGAGAAACTTCCAATTTACTGGTTGTCAAAACATCTGAAATGTGCATTTGTTGGTGATGGTAAAAATCACTGCAAAACTTAAAACATCTAAATAGATAAAATTTGTTAAAATAAGTGTTTTACTTTGAAGAACTGAAAGCGATGAACAAATCCTTGTTTCTTAATATAAACTTTCTGGTAAGTCAGTCATGGCAATTCCTTCTTGTGGTTTCATAGCCAAGTTTTGTGGCAGTGATCCAAATACAACAGGCCTCTTCAGCAACTAAGTATGGATTTCTTGCGTTTGTTGCTAGAAGAGGATTTTGCCCCTTTTACAGAGTGAGCAAGTGAGGCAAATACTTACTCAGATGTGCAGTCTGTTATGTATCCTGTGTCCATACTTTTTCCCAGTTCTTCATGTTTAGAACCCACAATTTTTGTTTTAACAAAAGAACAAATAATTCCTCTGTGATCCCAATAAGAAAAGATTACCAGCTGCTTATCTGTGCCTCCGCTTCCATTCCATTGCCCCTGTGGGAATTAGTCAGGCTTTTTCTCCTTCTGCTTCACTGTACATGAATTTATCTGTGGCAGTGGTTTACAAATGCAGGCAGTGAGCTTGGAGCTGTCTTTCAAGGTCTGAGCTGAAGTCAGCCTGGATACACCATGCTATGCTTTGTCTGCATCTTGGGATAGACTTCTGAGCAGTGTGAAAGCGAAGTACACCCTTTCTGATACCTGCAGAGTGAGCGTTGGTGATCCTGTTCCGTTTGCTACATTCTGTTGCCATTGAGATTAGCATTGCTCTACTGAAGTTTGTTCAGCACTGGTCTAACAAGTGTAGAGGTGGAGGTCCTGGGGAAGCATAACAAGGAGGACATTTAGTCCAATTTCTATTCAGTGTAATTTATATAGTGGAGTACACCAAAAAGAACTTGTGCTGCTAACTGGAAGAGATACTGATGTTTCTAAGGAAAGAATTGCCAGCTAGTGTGTTGGAAAACTACTTTCTTAAAGAGGATGGGAGTAAGATCGCTCTTCTTGAGTGCTTGAAGATGAAGCAAATCTAAATCAAGGCTTGGCTTATGTCAGGTTTTTTTGATAAATTAAATGCTGTTGTATATGAACTTCTAGTCAGTTTATCAAGTGTAGAATATTATCAAATGCACCATTGTAAAACAGGCTGTTCATCTATTTACAGTTTTGACTTGGAGGTAGAACACCTGTGGTTTCTAAAACTTTAAGAATGTTGTTCGGGCAAAACCCAGAGGCCTGTATCCACAACTCATCTTAAACATCATGCATACACCCCTATGCGAGCATGCACAAAAAAACCAAACCTGAGAGACAGAGAATTGATGGAGGAAGGAAGTAAAGAGGAGAATAAAACCAATATTGAAATTCTAGTCTACATTTTTTAGTCTGGGGCAGGTGGAAAAGCATTTTGGAAATAATGCAGAATATAGCTGCAATAGTCCATAGCTTTCTAAAGTGAGATGGCCTTTGAATTTCAAAGGGTATGACTGGTGCAAACAAGCCGAGTACAGATTGTTTTGTTTTTTCCCCCCAAGTGTTTGACTAGAGAAGATGGCAGAGAGGAGCAGAATTACTAATAATCAGATATTTGAACTGTTTGTCAGAAGACAAACAAAATGCAATTATTTCTAGGTACTTTGATGTCTAAGCACAATCCAATTCTATGTGTTCTGTTTTCAGCTAAAGAAGCAATTTCCCACCATGAACCTGAAGATTCCAGCTAAAAGAATATTTGGAGATAATTTTGATCCTGGTAAGTTATCATCTTGTTACTCATTCTGTCAGTTTCTTTATATGAAAACTGATTTATTCCAGCCTACGAGAAGCTATCTTAGATGAGTTTTACACCAGTCCTCAAAACAGTGACTAAACTTTGGTTTAGTCATGTTTCAGTCAAGAACAGGAACTGGCGTAGGTAGGTATTCTACTTTGTGATTGTGAACGAAGTATTGCTTAGTGGCCCAGTGCCCCTCTTGCCCTGAAGATTATAGCTCCTCCCAACCCTCTCATATTCAGGACTGAGAAAGATTCTGAACTGTCAGGTGTAATCTCTCTTCTATAAAAGCAAAAGCCAAACTCAGACTCTTCTAAACGTATGCCTAGTAAATTTTAAATTTCCTTTGTCTGAGGTTCCCTGCCTGCACCCCCACCGTGAAAATGATATAACTAAAGGATTTATCTTTGAAGGCTTTTGAACTCTCTCTGTCTAAATGTGCTTCCTTGTACAGTTTAGATGAAAATGAACCAGTTCCTGTTCTTGTACCACTTATAGAAGCCTGTCTGATGTGAACCTGATGTGATCTGGTTAGCAGTGCCAGGTCCTAATTAAGCTTCCTCTGTCCACATCAAAATACTAATGTAAAATCACTTGTAAAGTGCATTGAATTAACCTACGTGGCACCACCAATGAGTAAATAAAAAAGGCAAATGGGAAGGCCAGACCTTTTCTCTGTGTGTTTATACCCATCGTTCAGGCCATTTTACTTCAGGGTTTTCCTGATGGTCGTTGGGAACCTTCGGCCCTCCCCTGGCTCTCTGGTGCGATCGGGCTGTGTTTGTAGTTTCACCTCCTCCTACACCTGTTTCAAGCATTTCATTTTCTCCTTTGCTGAAGAAAAAATGGATCCAAAGATGTTGAACTCTTGGGATGTGTTGGTTTGGGTTTTTTAGAGTTCTTTCAAACAAATTAATCTTCGGCAGTTTCAGTTAATCGTCTGGATCCTGACTTGAAACTCCCTTTTATTTTTTATTAAAATAATCAAATGCAAATATCCAAGCTCTGATGTCCTCTTCTGATGAAATGTAAATGATTACCAAAAGTTCTGCATGTATTGTGTCTACAGGGACTTCTTGTTTTGTATTGGTTTCTTTCCATTTCTCTAACCTTGGGGTTTTCAGAGCTGGCTGGTCTGCTGTACAGCCAAACGTACAGGTGGATTCCTTGGAGTCAAATTTAGGAAACTGGAGTTTAAATGAGGCGGGGGGGCAGACCAACCTAAAATTTATTAAAACTATGTATGTAAAACAAAGTCCTCGGACTTGTTTTAAATTTCCGTGAACTGAAGTCCTTGAAGCATGAGGAACTAAGTAGCTCTCAAGATGTCTCTTGCTGGGAGGCAGGGTGGAGATGGAGTCATGATGCCCATTGCAAGAATTCTTTATCTTAACACTGATATATTGAAGCTTTGATACAATGTTTCTGCTGGGTTCTGAAATAAGTTGCATGTTTTACATATGTTGAAAAGGTATTTTACTTCTGTCAGTCCATGCTAGGGTTTTGCAACTCCTTTTCAGTATGCAGCATTGCACTGTTGCATTGAAGTGCAGTAGAGTGACGCTTACATATTCCTTTTCCAAAAATCTACCAAAAATACTGTCATAACATACATTGTCATCTAAATGCTCCATTTTTATTGTTACTTAGGTTATTTCAAAATTAATCTTGTTTTAAGTTCAAAATATGGGACAGAGGGAAATGTTAGAAACCAGTCAGAATACAGAACTAGAAGATTACAGAATACATTTGAGCTGACGTGATGCAGATGCTTTGTCTTCCACAACATGGGTAGTTCTGTAGGCTTGGAGTGGCTAATTGCGTTGTACATGCACCATGCTGAAACTGGTGATGTTGGTGACTCCTATAACAGCTTTATGCAAATTTACCTTCCTATTTGATGTCAATAATTTGGGATTATTAAATACCATAACAAGGGTTTAGGGATTATATCCCTGAAACAATCTGAACACTTTTCTTAATATTTGAAATACAGCTTTAAATTTAATTTTAATTTTAAATTTTAATAGTTGTCAGTAATCTATATGTGATAGAAAGAGTCATTGGAATACCTTAAAAGTTAATACTCAAGTTGAATATTCTTTTTCCATACAAATTATTGTTGATATGAGTAATGAAAGACAAGATTATTCTGTTTTACACTTTATTTCATGTTAGAGCTGTCCTGTTTCAAATCCCTTGTGTATCTTTCCATATGAGGGTAGAGATTCTGAGGGTTATTATTTTTTTACGTTAGAGGTGATGTCCAAAACAAAAGAAAAGCATTTTATTTAGTTACCTTTAGTGGTTACATCCGAGTACCTGCTGGTGGGATGACTTGTGCAATTTTCCCGCTGCCATACATATATTATGGAAATATGCTCCTTGGTGGAACTGTTTGTGTTAAAACTTGACTTGTGCAACTGATGTCAAGGTTTGCCAGTGTGGGGGTTTTCTTTGTTCTTGTGGGTGGTTTTTTGTTGTTGTTGTTTTTTGTTTTTTTTGGGGGGGGTGGTGTGGAGTTTTTTTGGTTTTGTTTTTGGTTTTGTTTTTTTTTTTTAGTGGGATCAGTTGCTGAAGGCCTCACCCATGCAATGAAGGCGTCATGGGATAGCCCACAGTGGTTACACACTGTTCTTGAAGCCCTTCAGTGCACTTTTAATCCACTGAAACTGAAATTTGTTCTTTCACCTCACCAGAGTGTTTTAAGCTTGCGATTTTCATACGTAGAACCAATCCTGTTCTGAACCAGTTGTGCACCAGTCTCTTTCTAACTGCTGTTTAAGTCCTAAAAAAACTTAAATTTGAAAATAAGTCTTTTTCACAAGCTGACTGATCATTCTAATAAGTCTATCTCTCTTTTTTTCAGATTTTATTAAACAGAGAAGAGCAGGACTGAATGAATTCATTCAAAATTTAGTTAGACAGCCGGAGCTATGCAACCAGTGAGTAGTTTCATTTCTGTTTTATAAGGACTATTTAAAAGACATGAGATGTCAAATACAAAATTGCAGATTAAGTACTTCTAACCAGAAAATGTATTTTTACCTGTTCAGTGCTCTTAAGTATAATAAATAAACTTTAATATGGCCATTTGTTCGTTCAGGAAAAATCTACAGACTGAGGAACAATATAATAATGTATTTTGTTTTCTGAAAACTGATCTAGAAATAAATTTGCAGGCAATTAACTGATGTTAATTCAAGGGGCGCAGATTCCAGAGTAAACTCTGTTGCTTCAGGGCAGGCGTTTGTTTTGCTGATGGCTGTACTGTTTGAGAACTCGGCTGTCACTTGCTACCATGTTGCTGGGAGTAAGTCACTGCCTGCATCCTTTTGGTAGAGTGGTTCATGTGCGTACTCCAGAACGTGTTTTAAGCATGTTAACCAAGTACCTTAATCAACTTGCTTAGGTGGTTTGGGATAGCTAAGCTGACCTGCCTAAAGCAAATAAAAAAGCTTGCGTATAAACTTTCCTGTCAGAAGAACTGCAGATGTCTTAACCACCATCAGTGGGACAGGGATGAATGAGAGACTGTGATATGCTAGAGTTGGCTCCAGTTAAATCTGGAGGATAGCACTTCTGTACCTAATCAGTTTAAACGGAATCCATGCAGCTTTCTATGTTGCTTGAGCTAGTAAAATGGTAAAGCTCTATATTGGGCTTTAGTGTTGAATAAATGTCTTCAATACATACGCTTTGTTTAATTAGCCTATCTGTACAACCTGTGAAACTGGCCATTTCCCACAGAGGGGAGAGGAAAAAAAAAAAGCCTAACAGAATATTGTAGTTTGCATTGTGCAGTCAGATCCTGCCTCCCACTGCCAATGAACTATTTAATGTCCTATTAACCTGAAATATGTACTTCCTTTCTTTTTTGGATAAAAGGAGCACTTGATATATACTTCCTTGTGATAAGTGGAAAAAATTTCAAAACAAAGTCTTTATGGTGGAATAGTTTTGTACTAGAACAAATACTGTAAGGTTTGTGATCATAGTAGTATTCTTCTCTGAGAAACGATAGAAAGCACTTTAACTAATTATTGAAAGCTAATGTGTTTTGTTACATTAGGAAAGGACACTGGTTTTATTTAGCACAATCCCTTCCCTGTTTGGTTGTCAGTATGTCCAAGTACCAAATATTTTGTCTCAAAACATACTATATTTGTTCTCCAAAGGTGAAATGGTGCTTTTTTTAGGCATATCACAAAATTGTGTGCTTAAAAAAAAAATAAAAATCCAAACCTCAAATCCACTTGCCTTCTTAAATTTTTGTGAGCTTTAAAAATTGTTTTATGCTCAAATACATCTATAGCCAAATCTGTGTTATTTAACATGGCACTTAGCCTGTCTGATCCATTGAAACTAACTAAACCAGTATTTAGAAATAAGTCTTGTAAAGTGTTTTGATACTCTTAAGTGTGTTAAATAAAAAACTTATTAGGCATAGTTCTACCATAAAAACAAAATAGAGATTTGTTTTGTCTTGTGCTGTTCTCCTCTTTGCTACCCTTAAAGTAACACTGATTTATATGGGAGAAGAAGCAAGCCTTTAATTCACAATTCAGAGCAAAAACATTTTCACATGACCAAGGAAACTGTGGACCAGTCAGCCTCACCTCCATCCCTGGAAAAGTGATGGAGCAGCTCATCTGGATGTCATCTCTAAGCATGTGGAGGAAAAGAAGGTTATCAGCAGTAGTCAACATGGATTCACCAAGGGGAAGTCATGCTTGACCAATCTGATAGCCTTCTACCATGGCATTACTGGATGGGTAGATGATGGGGGAGCAGTGGATGTTGTCTACCTTGACCACAGCAAGGCCTTGAGCTCTGGCACAGGCTGCCCAGAGAGGTGGTGGAGTCTCCTTCTCTGGAGATACTCAAAACCTTCCTGGACACGATCCTGTGCAGCTTGCTGTAGGTGACCCTGCTTTGGCAGTGGGGATTGAACTGGATGATCTCCAGAGGTCCCTTCCAACCCCAGCCATTCTGTGATTTAATTTTATAGTAATTTCTGTGTTGTTTTAATAATTGCAAGGCACTTCGTTTTTCTGAAGTGATCTTTTACTTTTTGCAGTGCTCCATTGCAACAAATCATACTAGTAATTACATAATCTGTCAACTTTTCTATGTGTCAATGAATGTTATTAGTGAAGAATACCAAAACTTTGAGCTTGGTTGGTTGGTTGTTGGTTTTCTTTTTGTAAAATCTGCTAGAAACTGCTCAAGGAGTATGTGGTGACTGAGTCTTCACGAGTAGTTCAGATCCTTGCTTTCTTAGACTGTTTTTGATTTAATGTGCTAATTGAATTTGATATTAGGTAAAATAACTTCTGTAAAGTTGGTAATGTACAAGGAAGACTTAGGGGGTTATGTACTCTCACAGAACTTTAGGGAAGAACACCTTCCACTACATCTTTTAGTCACTAAAACCACTATCGGGATGTCATATTCTTGAGTCCTACCTAGGAAAACTGTTTCACTAAAAGCTTGAGGATGGTTCATGATGGTGTCCTCGCTTCTGGATGGGAAGGCCTCTGAACATCTGAATTGAAAAGCACAGTGTGTCCAAGATGGTAATATTTACATAGCTCTCTGAACCCTGTAGTACTGTGTTCTTTTTTTCTTTTTTCTTCTCCTCCTCTCCCCCTTCATTGGATTTTGTTCTTTGGTCTGACGTGTTTGTTGAATATTGTATCAAAGCCAAACCTTTCTACTCAATAATAAACCCAACAATAACCTGAACTGTGTTACAGTGATCAGAGAGACCCTGTAATGTTTGGTAAGGATTTTCCTGCCATCACCGTTAGGTGGAATATGGGGCAAGATGGATCGTTGGCTTAGACCGAATTGGAAATTAAGTGGACTAACCTCACGCTGCATTTACTTGGCTTTCTGTGTTTGATGAAGAACTTGCTCTCATGGATAGAATGCAGGTGTTGCCAAAAAGAAAAAAAGTGTCAAAAGGGATAGACATCCAACAATGCATCCCCCTTGCTGACTGATGTCCTGAGTAGAAGCTGGGAGTTTGTTACCTGTGAGCACTGAGCAACTGTTAAAATTGGGCTGCTTGCCCCCTCAAATGTAGAGCTTCACTGAAAAATTAATGCATTTAATTGTCTAGCAGAACATGTCCAAAGAAAACCTGTTTGAATCCAAATGTATAATAGAGGATACATTAAAGATAGTTATTTTTAAGTAGTCCAAAGTAGCTTCTTAATGAGAACATTTGCATAACACTTGAAAAACTCAAGGATGACAATACCCTGCAACCTCTGTGGGGAAATGAGTTATCTGTTCTTTAAGTGAGAAGCGGGGGTCTGCATTTGTTCTCTAGAAGAAAATCGGAGTGACTAGATTTTTCTGTTTTCAAAATCTGATGAATGTAAAAATGAATGTGAAACCCCTGGATTCTAAGATCTTGCAGTCCACGTTGGGGAAAACAAACCTTGCATTACGTTAGTTGTGTTCTTTTAAAATGTTCCTGTACCTTATAGCTTTTTAAGCCTTTGCTTTCTGTAAGAAAGGTAGTGGTGTTTTATTGTTGGTTTGTTTCTTTTTTTTTTTTTAAAGTGTGTGGAGAATAAGGAGGAGCTGGACACCATTATTTAAATAAAGTGTGTCTTAAACATTAAGGTTCTGTCACTGGCAATTAATTTTACCATTTTGCTTCAAAATTTGTGTGACTTTTTGGGCTTGCTCATATTTCTGTTTGTGTCCAAAATTTTTGTCTGACTTTCTGTGCT